ACATCATCACGAATCTTGTGTCCGTTGTACGCCACTGATTGTAGCCCATTTCCTGGACGACAAATTCCGCGCACTGTACCGTCAATGAAACCAATACAGGTGTCCAATGGAGCTCCCCTTTCGTGGATTGCAGAAGCGCATTGGCGCATCCAGTTGCCATTAAGACGCTTATTGTCCCATTTGAGCAGAGAGTGAAATTCAGTGTACACATAGGTCATGGCTTCATTTGCAATAGCGCAAATCGCCTCGCGACTCCTTCCAAGCAGCAGAACCATCGATCCAAGACGATGCGGCCAGGCAAAACGGTTAAGGAGTTTGCACAGGGCTTCCTCGGCGGTGGCGTAGTATCGGTATTTGTTTGGCAGCGGGTTTGGAATGCCAAGTTGGCGTACAATCAGTTTGATTTCATCGCGTTTAAATCGAAAGTTGTATTCGCACTCTTTGTCCGATTGGGCGTAAAGGTCAAAGCGATACTTGGGAATGCCAAAAGCACTTGGTTCAGTGGACTCGTGGCCAAGTGCGAGGCCAAGCACGGCCATCATTGCCATTGAGGTGTCCACATGGCGATTGCGAAAATTGAATAGCAATTTGTCTCGTAGCAGAACACCTTTCATTGCGAACTATCGACGAAGACTTTTCTGGAAAACTTCACAAGGATTTTCACGTTTGCAGAATTTGTCTAATACTACCTCTGTTCCATATTAGTGCCGACATTTGACTTTACGGTGACCCCAAAAACTGAATTGTTTTGGTCAAAATTGACGAAACAAAGCCCCAATAATGTATCAAGGAATTCTGAACATAGTTCTATTGGACAAAACGACCGAAAATGATGTCTTCGGCCCAAATAACAAATTCGTCGACTTGTTTCTGAATAAAAGTACAAAATGTAAGTTATTATAATATGGGGACTGTCTATTTCCGGAAATCCGGATAAGAATGAATTGCCGTTTGAGCACAGCCAAGGGCGGCATTCCGAAGTCCGTCCCCGATGCCTCTCAGTTCTTCCGCTATAGAAGTA